ACTTACTCATTGCTTTTGAGTTATTCTGATTCATAGTGAGTATTTATTTATTGGGTGTCTGAAGTTGTAAATTTTAAGAGGCTTTGGGTTAGCAGCACTACTCACTGCCACACACTGTGCCACCAGAGCTGGCCACTGGGGCCAAAATGTAAAAAGGATCTTGTAATTATGGGGCTTCTGATTTATCACTGGTTGTTGTTTTGTGCTGTTGAGTTGCCTGCCACTCATAGCGACCCTATGTACAACAGCCTTAAACCCTGCTCTATCCCTTGCCAATCTATTGTCTCTGACACTCCTATTCCATTACCCCAATGACTGAATCAATCTATCTCATCGAAGGCCTTCCCTCCACCTTCCCAAGTGTGACGTCCCTCTCCAAGGACTGATCCTGTCTTGCAACATGTCCAAAGTATGTCAGACATAGCTTCAGAATCTTTGCCTCCAAGGAGCAGCCTGGCTTCACCCTCTCCAGGATGATCTTGTTTGTTCTCCTAGCAGTGTATGATATATTCTATACTCTTCTCCAGCACCACAGCTCAAAGGCAGCAACTCTCCTTCTATCTTCCCTCGTCATTGTCCAGCTCTCTGATGCATAGCAAGTAATTGCAAAGACCATGGCCTATATCAGGCACACCTTAGTCTCCATACTGACATTGTTGCTCTTCAGTACTTTGGAGAGGTCACTGACAGCAGACTTTCCCAGTTCATCTTTTAATTTCCTGGCTGCTGGCACAAGAGTACTGATTATAGAGCCAAGTAAACTGAAGCTATCAATAATCTCAACCTCTTCATCATCTATCATGATGCTGCCAATCGGCCCAGTAGTGAGAATCTTTGTCTTCTTGATGTTGAGCTTCAAACCATATTGAAGGCTGCAGTCCTTGACCTTCTAAGCAATCATGGTTGTGTCATCTGAATAACGTAAATTGTTGATGAGTCTACCTCCAATCCTGATGCAACACTTTTCCTCATACAGCCCTGCCTCCCAGATAATATGTTCCACATATAGATTGAAAAAATATGGAAATAGGACACATCCTTGATGCACACATTTCCCAATTTGAACCATGCAGTGTTTACTTGTTCTGTTCTGATGGCTGCCTCCTGGTCCAAGTATAGGTTTTATATAATCACAATCAAATGTTCTGGGATTCCCATTCTTCTCAGAGTTAGGCACAGTTTGTTGTGATCCATACAGTCAAATGCCTTTGTATAATCCATGAAACACAATCTATCACATACCTGTAGTTAATTTTTTTGTGATTCCATTTTGTGCCTGTGATTTGTGAGAGAAAATAAATTGCTTCTTTTTCGTTAGAGTACTTTACCTCCATTATGACAAGAACAATTCTAAATACATAGTTTCTCACAAATAATAGGCATATCATTGGTGATCATAATATGGTTAATGCATTCTACTTCCAAATTTCATTAAAGAATAAGTAATTAGCTATGAGTCCACAGCCAAACCCAAACACAAATTCCACTTTACTCAAGTTCATTTCATGGGTGAAGTGTTTTTAGTGTTAGAATCTTTAGGGGTAAATTAGGACGTTGGGAAGGCACTTGAACTAAATTTTTACTTTCATCACTTTTTAGTGATGCTACTGAAAGTAATAGGAATTCTTTTTCTTTAATTTAACTAAGCAATATATTGTAGTAATTAGCAAGAATTAGAAGTGCACCTACCAATTACTAGGCAAATATTCGAGTTGTAAATAATGCACAGAATCTTGATCTATGCAGATGATCTTATCCGCTTATTTTCATACCACTTATAACAAAATAATGGTTGATTAGGATATAAGCACTATTTTAATTTGATGCTAACATTTATAAATCAGGTCAATACTTTTCCACCAATACAAGAGATCATTAAGTTTATTTAACTGGTTGTTGTTATTTGTTGTCGAGTCGCTTGTGACTCATAGCGACCCTATGTACAATAGCCCTAAACTCTGCTCTGTCCTGTGCCAATCATACTGTCTCTGACACTCCCATCCCGATTATCCCAGTCACTGATTCAATCCACCTCATAGAGGGACTTCCCCTCCTGCGCTGTCCCTCCACCCTAACAAGCATGATGTCTCTCTCCAAGGACTGGTCCCTCCTTACAACATGTCCAAAGTATGTTAGACGGAGCCTCAGAATCCTTGACTCCAAGGAGCCACCTGATTTAACCCTCTCCAGGATGAGCCTTTTTGTTTTCCTAGCAGTCCATGGTACTCTCAGTACTTTCCTCCAGCATCACAGCTCAAAGGCATCAATTATCTTTCTATCCTCCTTGGTCATTGTCCAACTCTCTGATGCATAACAAGTGATTGCAAAGACCATGGCCTGTATCAGATGCACCTTAGTCTCAAGAGAGACATCATTGCTCTTCAGTACTTTGGAGAGGTCCCTAACAACAGACTTTCCCATCACAATATGCCTGTTAATTTCCTGACTACTGGTGCCAAAAGTGTTGACTGTGGAGCCAAGCAAACTAAAATGTGAACAATCTCAATCTTTTCACCATCTATCCTAATGCTGCCAATTGGTCCAATGGTGAGTATCTTTGTCTTCTTGACATTAAGCCTCAATCCACATTGGAGGCTGCAGTCCTTGACCTTCTGTAGCAAGCACTTCAGGTCCTCCTCAGTTTCAGCAAGCAGGGTTGTGTCATCTGCATAATGCAGATTGTTGATAGATCTTCCACCAGTCTTGACCCCACATTTCTCCTCATAGAGCCCAGCCTCCCTGATAATCTGTTCTGCATACAGGTTGAAAAGGTATGGAGACAGGGCGTATCCCTGGCATATGCATTCCCAATTTTGAACCATGCAGTGTTCCCTTGCTCTATTCTCATGACTGCCTCCTGGTCCAAGTATAGATTCACATTAGAATGATCAAGTGTTCTGGGATTCCCATTCTTCTCAGTCAGCCACAGTTTGTTATGATCCACACAAACGCTTTTGCATAGTCAATGAAACACAGATAGACATCCCTGTTTTCAGCTAAGATCCATCTAACATCAGCTACAATATCCCTAGTACCACGACCCCTTCTAAACCCAGCCTAGACTTCTGGCAGTTCTCTGCTGAAATTAATGAGATTGTTCTATAGTTTCCACACTGTGTTGGGTCACCGTTCTTTGGGATGGAAACAAATATAGATCTCCTCCTGTCAGTTGGCCAAGTGGTTGTTCTCCAGATTTCTTGGCACAACTTGGTGAGCACGTCCAGGGTTAGCTGAAATATGTCAATTGGTATACCATCTCTTCCTGGGGCCTTATTTTTTGCCATGTCCTTCAAAGCAGCCTAAACTTCTTTCATCACCATAGCCTCTTGCTCATATGCTGTTTCATGAAATTCTTCTGTGTCTGCCAATTCCTTTTGATACACTGACTCAGCATATTCTTTCCATCTTCTTTTAATACTTCCTGGATCATTTAATATTCTCCTGAAAGCATCCTTGATTATAGCAACTCGAGGTTTTAATTTTTTCTTCAGTTCCTTGAGCTTAAGAAATGCTGAGCAAGTTCGGCCCTTTTGATTTTCTGACTCCAACTCCTTGCATATTCCATTGTAATATTTTACTTTGTCATCCTGTGCTGCCTTTTGAAATCTTCTATTCAACTCTTTAGTATCTTGAATTCTTCTTTCTGCTTTGGCTTCTCTGC